CTTAAAGAAGTTACTCATGAGGTCGTGAGACATGCTTTCCGTACTGATTATCACTGCAATCACCACTAAATCAATGAATTGTCACAATATTTACAGTAATATCAGTGATAACTGCTTTTCATTGGCTGACACTTATGGCACTCAATTTGAATCAATAAATACAGTCTATGCACGTAATGGTGTTGTACAGTACAGTACACTCTCAAAATGAATTACTGTTTATAGTATGAGGCTCATACTGTACCCGTACACTCAACTAGACTAACTTACTGTATTGTTTGAACTAATTATAATTTATATTAACTATTTGCTATTGTTAATAAATATATCTGTAATAACCCGATAACTTCATGTCAAATATAGTTTTCTATTTAACAAACTACAATAATTTCATTTCATAAGAATTATTATTAATTTTTAAAGGATTATTAATAATAAAAAAGATTTCTCAAACATTTTGTGAATAAATATGATTCTCATATAAAATGAATCAAAACTTTACTTTTCATTACAAGTAATTTGTAAGTCTTTGCATGAATTCAATAAATTATTCTTGGTAAAATCTCTAAGCTTTCGGACCATAGATTATCGGCTAATACTGGCCAGCCTATAGGATTAAGCTCCTGGGACAGTTATATTATAAGTCTACTAATAATCAACTAGCACTATGTCAATTTTAAGTAGTTTAAGTTGACACCAGACACAAGTAATCATTGCTTTCAATACGCCTACAAAATATTTAAAAACAATATGACTTTGATCACTTATTTCTACATAAACGAGTCAAATATTTATAATAAAACATAAAAACTTATACATAAATCTCATAATAATCGCTATATTATAATATATTTATAAAACAAATGCATAAAATCGCTAAAACATTGAACGAAAACTCAAACTTTTCATTTGAAACTTCAAAACTCGGCACCACTTATGGGACGTAATGTTTGCGATAACACTGTCACCGCATTTGCATTGAAAACAGTGTTTATGTGTTTATCTAATGAAACGTCAGTCCAGTCGTGCAAAACATATGTGTATTGTAATCGCAATTGAGTTTTAAATTAACAAAACTTTATTCATTATCACCGAAAACTGCCACCAATTACCCGGATCATTGAGCATGAAGGCGCTGATACTAGTGGGCGGGTATGGGACACGACTGCGTCCACTGACACTATCGCAACCCAAACCTCTGGTGGACTTCTGCAACAAACCGATGATTTGTCACCAAATTGAAGCACTCGTACAGGTATTACACCATTCAGTCATAGCTTATGATAATTGCCATTAAGTGTGAAGTTTTTATTTATTTTGTTTGCTTTTGTAGGCAAATGTCAAACACATTATACTTGCCGTCAGTTATAGGGCTGAGCTCTTGGAGAAGGAGATCAAGGCGAAGGAACAGGAGGTATGAATTGCGCCGGTAGTTCACGTACTGTTGCTATAGTGTACTCGCATATTATGAATATGTTTCATGTCTATTAAGTGTATATTATGTATGAGTTGTTAATTAGTATAAAAAAGTATACCTGTATATTTATACATTTGTACAGGATTATATTTTCTATTACTGTTATACCGTAATTGGACACTACAGTAGTGTACAGAATATAATAATTACAATATGTTTAAAATATATAATTAATGGCTATTATAAATAGATAATTAATTTTTAACACTATACTTTACAAACATTATAATGAACATCATTAGTAAAAAATCAGTTATTCAGTGAATGCTATTCACTAGAAATTGATTGATTAGTATTTTTTGCATGAATTTTATATTAGGAATATCTAAACACAAGTTCACTACACTATTGTATAACTGTATGTTTTAATGTCATAAATAGTTTTGTAATGAATTTAACGCACAATTAGTTGGGAATAACGATAACCATATCGCACGAGGAGTACCCGTTGGGAACGGCGGGTCCGTTGGCCTTAGCCCGGCATCTATTGGTCG